ATATACATCATGGAGATTAAATATTTTAAATTAATTTCGATTATTATGTGTTAAATAAGTTGAACAAGAATATAATTTCAAAAAATTCGACAATTTGCATATATTTTTTTAATTTCCAAAAAAATAAGTTTCTTTCATGCATTTTGCATAATCTCCATTATTAAATTTTTTTATTCATTACATGTAGTCTATGCAGTGCACATTAATTATTTTTAATTATCTCCTAATAAACAAATATTGCTAATGAAACAAAACTATAAATGAAAATACAAATTCATTGAAAAATTTCCTTCTTGATTTACAAGCTTGAAGAGTTTGCTTCCATTTTTCCTTAATATTTAGCTAAATGGTTATTAATCTAACCATTTCTATGTGACTCGAATATTCTTGGTATAAAAAATAAATAAAAGAAAGTTAGTATTTTAATTTATTGTTTCTTAAGTAAAAGGGGGTCGAATGATGAACTTCATAAATAACAATGTCAGGTGCGTAATTATGAACGAATTAAAAATTTGAATATTTGTACATAGTTATTGTAAAAATGTAAGCATTGTGGTGTTGAAATTAATATGTAACCGAAAATTAAAAATGCCATTGAAATATTACAAATAACGATCAGTGAGAAGGAAATAATTAAAAAAAAGCATGTATAATTGCTGTAGGAAATAAAGAGCAGTTGAAAAATGATAGGAAGACCTTCAAAATTCAACTTCCAAATAAACTGTTTTGATGCTCATAACATCTGCATTTCTGTACTAAAATTGAACAGATATCGGTAGCGTTTTTTTGTTTTTACTCGGTTAAATGTTAATTTGAGACTTACAGTGTCTGTACTTTTATGTCTTCATTTTTGACAAGGATTCAAAAAATACATATTAAGGGTGGTTCTTTTCGAAACAACATTCTTAGCTAAAATTTTAAGTATGAATAAATTCTCAGCGATTTTTATTTAGAAATATACAGTTCAGATGGGGAAAAAAAGGGATAAAAAATCAATGACTTAAATTTAACAATTTTTTAAAATTATTTTTAATTATTAAATAAAAAGAAATTATAAAATTTAAATTTTAGCATTTTTTGCACGTTGACGGACTGAAGGTTAATATTTTAGAGTAATTAAATAAATAATCCCAAGAAACTAAATCGGTGAGATATAATTTGACTAAAGAGCTTCTTTCTTCTCTTCACAAATATACAAACTGTAAATGGCAGTCGAGATACTTCAAGCATTCAAAAATGAGCATTTTGCCCCTTTCGGTAACAATGTTTTTTTCTTGTTCTGTTTTTTTTTTCATGTTTATTTTTATTCTTTTTAGACTACTGTGATTTTTTGTGTTTTGGTTTTTCATCATTATTTTCCACTTATCATCGGCAACTAAGTTTTAAATTTCAAATTACTTTTGGTTCTTCTCATTCACGTATGAGAAGTCCTGAAATTGGGCGCTTATTTAAGAGTGCTTGAAACATATCAAAAACTGTTATTTCCAATCTGCATATTTTTAAGGGTAATATTTTTTTTATTTAATAAAACTAGAGCAATTATTCATGGTTTTAGATACTATATAAAATACACTAAATTTCAATACTAACATGCTCTAACTGTCCAGTGATTTTTTTTAATCAAATTTCTTACATTTTGTATAATTTTTGATTTAATTTAAAATCTCCGACAAACAAGTACAAATTCAATAATATTTATAAATAGACACTCGTTTCGTAATGATATACAAGCAGATAAAAGCTTAAAATAATAGCATAAAAAAGCATAATATAAATATTGTTTGTTAAATGATAAAATATTATCAATAGTTATGCAATTTATTAGGCGTTGAGCTTTAGGAATTTCTTTTTGAGAAACGTTTTATGCATTTTTTCTTTCAAGTAAGTGTGACATTATGTCATGACATCAATCGTACTGACATCGACCCCGTCTCATGTACGGAGCAGATGCTTCTTGTCTGTCATCCTAAAACCACGCAATAGTTTTATATTTTCATTCTCTAGAATGGAAAAAGATATAAAATCCATTTTTTTTTTACAATTCTTCCATGCGTCAAAGTAAAAATATAATAGTATGAATATTTTTATTTTCCACTGAACATGTTCCATTTACGAATTAACTTTTATGTTTAATAATTAAATTGCCGGACGTCAGAAATAAGTCACAGTAATTTCAAGTAAAATATTATATATATATATATATACATATAACTTTTTACCTGAAATAATTCTATTTAACAACTTTTACATACATGTGTCAGTTTATAATTTGACTGAGCTATTTATATTTAGTACAATTCTCCTTTTTAAAATAATTTTAGATTATATCAATACTTTTCAAAATGAAACAGAAATTTTTCCATTTCTTTGTACGAATTTCGCAAATTTATTTCAGTGTTTCAGCATTCTTTTTTTAAGGAAATAATGAATCGATGTTTGTATAGGATCATATGACAATATTATACATTTAGTTCAGCTACATTTTGATGATTGTCAGAAAATCCAATGCAATTGTCACCATTTATCTGCATATACCGCCCTTGAATAATTATGCGCTTCCATTTATCTTCTGCTTCTATTTGTATCTGTCATGAATTCAGGGATTGGCATTTTATATCATTTATTTAATATTCTCGACAACCTCCTCACGTATTTAGTGCCATAAATTATTTACCCTTCTTACACAAAATGCTAATTTTCGAAAAATGTTAAAAATAATAAAAAGTGGTTAACACGTCTCATTAAAATATTTATCTCTGCTTAATAAAAATGAAAATATTATTAACTGAAATCAGTTTTATATTTAAAGAAAAACAAAGTATAATTTTGCAGAATAGCTCGATATATTATTCCAGAAACAAATGCGTTAGCTTGTTTTAAATTAAAACTACTTAAGAAAATTTTTTTGTCTTTTTTGATTTGATTAAATATTGAATCTAGAATCTTCATTTCATAACGAATCTCATGCAATAATGATTCTAACATAGAAGCACGCATTTCAAAAATCCAATTACAACGAAGTTAAGCTTAAATTACAGATTGTGTTTAAAAACTTTATATGGGATACAAATTAGCCGTCAGACCTGTGCCGAGGATGAAATATGCTCCATTAAAGTCTCAGTTACTTTACTTTTAAACTAACAAAAACTTTCAGCAGATGTGCATTTGAGAAGTAACGATTAGGCTGTCTACATTCTATGAGAGTGCTCTGGGGTTTAAATCCTAGCTGGGACGATGGAAATCAATTTCTAATTTTAGTTTTTACATAGATTGATAACTATTATTTTTTTTATTCAATTTAAAAATTTAACATTTTTTAATTTAAATTATTTTTAAGTATAATAAATTTAAAATAAATATATTTTTTGTTTTTTAATTAAAATAAATTTCAGTCACCAATACTTTGTAGTATGAGGCACTATAGCAAAAATTGCCACAGCCACTTTCAAAGAGGTCAAAAACAAATCTAAATAATTTCTTAGTAACTAAGTTTTTATTTCAATAAAAATACAAAATTATTTGGAAAATTATCGGAATTATTCGGAATTCACTGAAAGTTGTATTTTGCATGAATAATTTTATAATTATGTGTTAAAATTACGGAAAATTCTTTAAAAAAGAAAAATTAACATCAATTGGTTCAAACTTTAGATCACTCTCCTGACCAAACTATTAAGACCATATACTTCCCAGATAACGGCTACTCCCTGTATTTTGGAGGTCATACTTCCAAATAAATTGAAGAAAGACACGTTTATTTAGAGAAAATATGTTTTTATACCTGATTTCGCAACATAAAATATCGTCTGCGCAAATTAATTAGCATATTTGAAGTCACCCTTTTGAATCATTAAGCTTGGATCGTAGACACACTGTTAAAAATTTCTTTCCAAAATTACGGTAAAAGGAACGGCAGCAGTCTGTCCATCCGATTAATCGTAAAGTTTACGGTTGAGAAAAGTTATTTACCTTTACGGATTTAATACTGTTTACAACAAACACGGTTAAAAAACAATGTTAACAAAACTAAACGGTTGTACTACTGTATACACCTAATACAGTTAATTAACCAGGTCTAAAGAATTTAATTGCTTTATAACCGTATAGTTTAGTATTGTTTAATAACAGTAAATATAAAAGTCTATGGTTTAGAAACTATTTACAACATCTCGGGCTAAAGAGATAACTATCATTTATAACAATAAAATAGAATAATTGTTTCATATGGAATGTCACTGAATATGTATGGAATCTTTACGATTTATTTTCTAATTGGAACTAATACAGGTAAAAAAAATTAACATTAAGCCGTTTATAAATTTATGAGACTAAAACATTGAATTACGATCAGAAGATGCAAACAGCTTATTAAAACTGTTTAGTAAATTGTTAACTCTATAATATTAGTGACCAAGATTTCAGAAAACAGATTAGGTGCTGAAATAGTTTAAATTTTTCTAAGAAATATGAAAATAGTTCGCAGCTATAAAATTACACTGGCGGAGAAACTTAATAAATTTAATGGTAACCTAAGGCCTGTCGGGTGACCATTTTCTTAACATTGCTTGTCTACCTGAATAGGAACTATACAACAACAGGGTCCTTATTGCTTGTTTGGCATAAGGCCAGTAAGAATGAAATTTTCAACAGGTTAGATACTGAACTTCAAGATATATCATTTAATGTATACGAAAACAGAATATAAATGATAATTAGAACAATTAATACCACAATTTTTGAAAGTTAAGTTATTCTCAAAACTAAACTAGGTAATTCTAACATCAACTGTTTCAACTTTTTAAGTAAAATAAAGTTTTTTATTAAAACTTCATAAACATGCTGATAAATTGCAGATAATGAAAAGAAAACAATTACAAATAACAAAAATGACTTTATTAATTTCTACAGATCATTTCATATAAGCAAAATAAACACCTTTAAAACTTTTTTAAAATGTTACGCACCCTGTGAATGAAGGAAAGAATAAAAAATTGATGAGTTTATTAATGTCGACAATCTTTCAGCCAACTGTCAAAGATAGAAAGCTTAAAATCTTTGGGTGAATTTCTGATAAACAATCTTTTCCCTTTCTACTTTGGAGCCAGACACTGGATTTATTCTAACAAAGCACCTGAAAAATGTGTTAAAATTAGTAAAAAATAATTTTATGTACATCAATTTTCTTGGGCTTCAGAAACAACTATAATTATGATAAAATTCAATATAATAGCAAACTGACTTTTTCTATTGAAAATTTTGCACGACAGACATTACTGATATCAATATTCCAAATACTGATTTTTAAGAAACAAATTTAGCCAAAATAGAAAACTTTGCCACACCATATCTCAAATCTCATATTGTGGAAAATGAAAAAAAAAAAAAAAACTCCACGAAGTCAAAAATATTTTCAATACTATTTTAATACCAAGTTTTCATGGAGAATCCTTTTATTTAGAAACGCTCAACATACACATATGTAAGAAGCTAAAAAAATGGCTATCAATAAAAGCAACTGAAAGGCAAATTAGAAATTACCATAAACATTTATACAAATTGACAAGTTTATTATTAGTTATAGACTGTTAATTATTAGAGAAACCAGTTAGTTGTTAATAAACTCAGCACAGAAAGGTTGACCAAGCCAAATACAACTTGATGCAAAAGTTAATGAACAAATTTATTTTATTACCTCGGAACTAGATTAAAAAAATGAGTAAATATATGTTATCTGTAGCAAAAAGAATCTATTCTCAATCAGTATGAACACTCAATGAATAAAATTGATGTATAGCATATATTCAGCAGCTTTTTAAGCTCTTAAAACATAATACAACACTGCTGTTTTAGTGACAATCTCATTTTGTTTAAAATATTTTACTAACATAGGAATTGTAACTTTCAGTTATTTCTAACATTTTAGATATGACATTTTCCCATGAGAAAGCAAACAATTATAGAATATTGGAAAGTCACATACGTTTGTTTAACAGACTTAATCTGCAAAAATCAGGGGTCTTCTAATCTTTAATCAGGGGTCTGTCCAGACATTTTGTAAAACGTCCGTTTTTGAAAAATTGTGAAAAAAATTACTCATAATTTGTGAATATAAAATAAACGTTAAGTCACATTCTTTCAACCAGGGTCCGCTTTTGTGAATTTGTGCAAATAGGGTCCGTTATTGCAAAAAAACTTTTTCAAGGAGTTTTTAAATTGTAAAGACATACAAGATTATGCTTAACACTGTAAAATTATAATAAATAAAAAAAATTAAAATTTCAAAAATAAACAGCAATTGCTGCAACTAAATGAGAGGGGCAACATACAAATATTTCGTATTTAGCTTTTACTGCTGAAAGCAGAATATTTATTTCTGACGAATAAAGGAAGAAGCGTCTGCCGAAGACAAAACTTAGTTTGTTTATATCTGTCTCCCCCCCCTCCGGGAAGGTTTTATTCGATTAGCAAAACAATAATGAAGATAAACAAATTTGTGAAGGGTCCGATTAAAAGATAAATTATTTTGTGAAGGGTCCGTTTTTAAGTTAAAATATTTTGCGAAGGGTCCGTTGTTATGAAAAGATATTTTGTGAAGGGTCCGTTTTTATGAAAAGATATTTTGTGAAGGGTCCGTTAACGGACCCAAATTTCTTCTAAACAGACCCCAGTTAATTTAAGTTGTTCACATTATGATAAAAAGCACAAAATAACTGATGGATCATCCCTTAACTGAATTGAGATTCATTTGTAATTAGTTAGAACTATTTGAATTAATAATTAAATTTTAATCATAAATAGCAATTCTGATAAGATATTGTTCCAATCATAGGTTTATTTAAAATATAATTGGTTTTAATGAATAATATATTGAAACACACATCAGGTAAATTTTTGTGCAACAATTGGAAGAATGGTATAAAAAGTCATGTTTATAGGTCTTGTGGCATTCTAACGATTTGCTAAAAGTTTTTTATTTTTTTTTTTGCTCAAGAACTTTAGAGCTTAGGGGAGGGGGAGAAGAAGAAAAATACAAGAAAAATCAATGAAATTTTTAGTACCTCTAATATGTAATAGACGCAAAAATTTTGGTGTTTACGGCTATGCCATCCATAGTTCCTCACACCTCAACATTGATGTCCCTAAAATTAAAAAAAAAATAATAATAATAATGAGTGATATGAGAATAAAAAAATACATTATCTTATAAATTAATTTATAATTTTCACAAAATTTTAAATTTAAACATTTCTGAAAACATTCAAATGCTAAGACAACAAAAATTAGATATAGATTATTTCAAACGTGTGGAGATACATCTCCCAGCAGTGAGAAATTTTATAAAATTCTAATTAATTTTCTCAATTATTAATAAAAATATCTTACAACATTTATTCTCATGAAATTCAATATGCAAGTTTAAATAGGGAGAGAAATATCCCAGATGAATTATTTTAATTCTTTTAATCATTTTTCTCTTTTTAAACAATAGCTAAAATTAAACTAAAAATATATTGACATTTTTAGTCACTGGCAAATTGAAACTCTATGTTTGTGGATCACACAATTACCTAAGACATGGATGCTTTGGTAGCGATTGCAGATCAAGTGGTTTGAAGACCTGAAAGAAAATTAACTATTTAGATGTACCTACACTAAGTACATACTTAATAAGTTTGAAATACATTTATATTTAAATAAACTTATTAATAGTAAAACAGCAAATTAATTTATTTGCAACTAACGAGTTACACTTAAACTTAACACGGAACTCATGTCTATGAGTTGACATGTGGAGATAGTACACTCTAGATGAGTAACTTACATAATTACATATATTGCAATGATACATTATAAATTTTGCTTCTAAATTATTATTCATCACATTTTCAATTTAGCCTACATTTCCCTTTTGCAAACTGTAAAAATATATAGCACCTTGCCTCATTACATTAAAATAACTTAAAGTGAATTTAAGTAATAAAAATGAACACACTAGATATGTTGCAACAGCAATTAATGGGATAAAAGCTAGAAAATAAAGACTAAATCATGAATATGAGAATTTTAAAAAGGAATTAATTGTGTAAAATTACTAAATACACTACTACACTTTACAAAAACAAATAAAAACTAGAAATTTTTTTTAATTTGACTCTTTTTTCAATATTTAGGTATGTTCAGGTTTAGTAGTCGGCCTGAAAAAAAAACACAATAAATAAATAAAGACATTTTTTGTACATAATGGATGTACCAGACTAACTATAACTGAAATAAAAGGCTGGGATAGCTTGGTCGATAGGGCCCAGGGAACATGTCCAAGAGTTCGTGGGTTCGATCCATGCCAGCCGAAGACTCCATGTGTAGTAAATGGTGACTGATTAACATTAAATCTGTCGAGTCTCTAAGTCCCTCATTATTTTATAACAAATCACTACTTCAGGGAGGATCCAGGAGTTTTCTTGTCTTCTGGATTGGTTCAAAATTACAAGGCTACGGAGTAGAACATTTGTTGTCATAAACCCAAAAATTGGGTTGGCTGTTCAAAAACGGATATAAAATAAAATATAACTGAAGTATAATTTGCTCCACTAAAGTGCAAGAAAAGCAATTTCAACATAAACGAAAAAAAAACTATTTTTAAATTCAGAACCTACTATTTTTAATTATTATTTTGCTTAGAAGAGAACACTTTTACAATTTCCAGTATAATTTTGTCAATATTGTACAGTATTGTGCAAAATTAACAGTCACCCCCTACTTTAAGGCACCAAACATAACAAATGGCAATTCGCTAGCTAGTTGTCACACTATCACTTTTTTCATAAAAAATATGCCTTTTACTACTATTTTAATAAATTGGAATCATTAAGAAGACTTCATAATATTCTGAACTTCATTTTACAGTTAATTCGCAAACTATCAACCAAGGTAGCATTAACCTCTTTTGCTGTTTTAATCAGATAAACATTTAATATTAATTATTACCAGTCAGTTTTTTTTCTCGATAAAACTCGATTTTCTCGATCGAACTGGGTTGGTTCATACTATCAAAAGTAACCAGAATGTCATCAAGTTCATTTTAATATTTAGTATGGAACAGAACTAATCAAAACTTTTAATTTATCACAAGGTCAAATGTTAATTATATATATTGAGGTAAAAAAATAATTTAGGGAATTAGTCCATACAAGGATCTGTGCTGCCACTATCACCAATGTGCCAAATGAATTTCAAACTACCAAATTTAGGATAACAAAATAAGAATCAGAAAAAAATACGACTTACAAATATACTACAAAAATACAATAATAAATTCTTGCAGTACAATACAATAATAAATACAATTGCAGTCAATAAATATTATGTGACTTAAAGATTTTTAAGGCGACAAACCTGAAATGAAGTATCTGTTTACAGTCGATGGTAAAGCATTTGTGAGTTATTTAGCCAATATCTTTGAAAAACTGAATATATTAAATAAGAAACTTCAAGGAACCAATAAAACTCCTGTTGATGCAAAAACGAAGATATTTGGCTTCATTACCCTTATTGAGTTATGTCAGAAATATATTAACAACAAAAAGGATTGGCTCCAAATCATTGGCTCCAAAAATGTGAAGTAAATGATACTGCTTTACTTGTTATTGTCTATCATCTGAAGATTCTATCGGCTGATTTAAGAGAAAGATATTCTGATTTAAAACAAATTTGTTTTCCAACATGGATGTTGCAGTCCATGTTAGTGGATTTGTCTGACATATCAAGAACTTGCAGAAATGGAAAATGATTAGTCAGTTAAAACTTTATTTAATATGAAATGAGTGATGTCATGGCTTCGTGAGGAAACAAAAAACAAATACCCAAATTCAATCAAATGTGCAAGAAAACTATTGTTACCGATTCCATCCATCTTCATATTTAGCTGAATGTGGATTTAGTACTGTAATTGATTTCATTGGTAAAAAAAAGAAATCGTCTGGATATAACACAATGGGGAGACTTGAGACTGAAGCTAACCAAATTGGAACCTAAGATAAAATCTATGTGCAGCAAGCATCAAGGGCAAGAATCTCACTAAATTAAAATATTAAATTATTATAGAAAAATCTTTATTAAAAATATTTCGAATTTGAATTTTTCATTATATGTTCTGAAAATTTACTTATTTCGTTTCGCTAACAATTTCCTAAGTTTCTTAAATGAACAATTCAATTTTCTTATATTAAAAATTATGTATATGTTACATAGGGGGGGCATAAGAATTTTAGAAAGGCTTAGGTGGGGCATGGCACAAAAAAGGTTGGGAAACACTGTATTAGACTTTCACGTATAATATTTCTTATGCAATGAATAAACTTTAATAGTAATAATATATTTAATTAAGAATTTGTTGCTAGTATATTATTAAAGTGCAATGGCGTTAAATTAAGCACATTATGAAAATATTACAGCATTAGCGATTTACATTTTAAGCTTTTTTGTAATAATATAATGATCAAAACAAATAAGTTGCTGAATACAAAAAGTAACTGTCGTTTTTCTTCAGAAAAAAAATTACTTATCACTTGACACTGCATAAGAACACATGTACTCAAAATTACATTTTACGAGGGATTCAAACTTAAATACAATATATAATAACATGAAATAATTGATGATTAAATACTTACTTTTTGAATCTTAGTCTTGCTCGATGGTGATGGAGATCCCATGCATCCCAACAAAGCTCACGCGATATGGAATAATTATCGCATGAGCTTTGAGCTTCTAACGCTTCTCTATGGCGAAAGACCTAGATGGCGCGAATAAATTTACTGTTGTTTTAACGTATTGGTTAAAAGGATCAATCGACGATTTTTCTCAATGTTAACTGTTTGAATGCCATATTTTTTACGTTTATTCTACTGTTTTGGAAACTATTTTTCTATAACTATTTTTCTCAGAAATTTCTAACAGTGTAGGTTGGCTTAGTTAGTACGATAAAATTCTGGTTGTTTGACCATATTATGTGAAAGCGGTCAATAAACGTTTTTTTTCACAGCTAACAGTTTGATTACCATATTATTTATGGTGATTTGACTGTTTTGTTTGAATATGGTGAAATAACAATGAAATAAATTGCTATTTAACCATCTTTTCCGAGAAATTTCTAACAGTGCAGTGAACATTCGATTATCAGATCAAAAGTTATACTGGGTGATCCGCGCACTGTACATCATGCAAGCAATTTGTTTTCATAGTTAAGAACATAGTTTTGTTTAGAGCTTTTAATATGTCTAGTTTTGAAAACTCACGGTTGACTGCATACGATATGCTTTATGTTATCAAATATCCATGCAATTCGCTATTATATTTTGTACCTCTTACGCATCAGCTGCATTGAATTTTGTAACCGTTGAAAATCCCAATAATTTATTGTGTTTGACGCTAATAAAATAAATCAATTACTTAAACTAAGATAAGATGTTGTTTTGTTTTTATCAAGGATCGTGTAATTAGTATTCTAAAACTTAGTGTTACGAGTCAGTAAATTATTGGACATCATTCTTTAGATAGTATTTATGTCAAAGTAATTACTGTCATTTATCTCAATAGTATATGCGCTTGATACACATGAGACAAAAGATTTACTGAAATGTATTTCCCTATAAACATCGAAATACCGTTTCTCTGAATCATTCCTCATTAAATTGAGGAAGAATACTTCCAAGATTATTTTTCCATGTTCTCCTTTTCTATCTTCAGATTTTTCTAAATGGGGACACTTTTCTAAAGCTCTGTAAGTAAAGTTCTTGTAAATTTTAAGTGGGCACTCTTATGCTTCCAAAATAATATGTTTAAAATGAGGCACAAGGCATTGAATTAAATTTGTTTTCGGAAGAGTAGCTGAATAAAATTTATGTCTAAAGTGATATGTTTTGAAAGTGGTACTTGAAATCAGTTTGTAACTTAAAATTTTCCAGTAGATATTTCGTATACTAATTGAATAATCACATAATAATTGGTTATTAAATTACCAAGGGGTTTTACTTAAATAACCCTATAATAATTGGTTATTTTGCTAACTGTGGTTACTAATTGAATAACCGTATAATAATTGGTTATTCAGTTAGCAATGGCTACTAATTGAAAAACTGTATAATAATTGGTTATTCAGTTAACAATGGTTACTAATTGCATAAGTATTGCAAAATGACTAAAAGCATTTCTCGATTGGCAATACATCAGACAAATTAGAAAAGTGTAATTATTTTCCGACAGGTTCGTATTCTTTGCGCATATTGCCGTGAGTTCACATACCTTTAGATTAATTGGGAAGATTTAATTAGACAATATATCTGTATAGGCTGTTTGAAACAATCCCAGAGTAGTGAAGGGATATTATAAATAAGATTTTTAAATGTTTAGTGGAACATAGAAAAAATAAATTGAATCTCATACAGTTAAATTATTTGCACAATTCTTAGTTAGCTTAATGACATATGGGTTGATTATAATGAGTCTAAAAGCATCGGATATATATAAAAAAAATGCTATAAAATATATTAAAAAAAATGGCAGAACTATAAAAATACTTTTCCGTTCAGAATATTTAATTGGAAAATACCAGTGCTTTTTATGAGAAAATGATTATATTTAATTCTAAGAAAAATAGTTAGCATCTACGCATGATCTTCTAAAGTAGAGGTTCCCAATTTGTGCACCGAGGAAGAATCTAAAAGCCTGTTTTCTTAAGACAAGCGCCTTATCTGGGAGTCAGCGGGAAGTTGACGTATCGCTGACGCCAACCTGTTCTAAGAAACCCAGCCCTAGTTAATGCTACGTTGCAATCCAGCAACAATTGATTCGGACGTCAGTCATCGTTCAAGCTGAGCGTTCGATGACGTATGCTGTCTAGCTCACAAATTGACCAATCAGGGGTTAGTGCTCACTTCAAGCTGACGTTTTTTAACGCCGACCTGTTCTAAGAAACCAGACCTTAAGGGTTCCGAAAGTTAGGATATTTTTTCCCAGTTTTGATTTTTGAAAACTGTTAAATTTATAATTTTTTACTCAATTTTTATGAAATTATTTAATTAAAGTGCTTGTCAAGAAAGAAATTTCTAAACAATGTTTTTTTTTAAATAGCACAATGATGAATGAATTATGAAAAGGATATGCTTTTATGAAGCATTAAATTAAATTTTCGCATCGAACAAAAATAACCAAATTCGACAAAGAAGAAGAAGAAGTTACCTTAAATGAGAGTTCGTTCTTTATATTGTTTTCATAGAAATATACAAATATTTCACATTTTATCAGCACTAAAATACTTTTAGAAAAAACTTTGTTGAATGTCTTAGTTTAGTTTTAAGAACAAATTACTCGAAATAGTGAAGAAAAAGATTGCCGAGGTAGTTAAGGAATTTATTCAAATTTATTTCTTATTTTTTTCGATATTTCTCAGCCAAATCCTGATCAACCGTGTTGAAAATATGGATGGCATAGCATTTTCTCAGTCTCGAAAAGTAACATCTATTTTCATACTTCCAAAGATCAACACGCATTATAAGTTCACCACTTTCTTCCAAACTGATGCATAAAAAGCAGAACAGAATATAAAGGCATCTGTTTCATCCTCTTTTCTTTTTGAAAAGACCTCATCTCTTATTACTTTCTTTCGTGAGGAAGGTGTTTAATCGCATTCTTTTCTGAATTTCCAGACACATAATCCAAGAATGGTAGAAGTTTCTGTGGTGAGGGAATTTGAATTTTTCATATGTTCGGAAAAAGATTTTTTTCCTTCAAGCAAGATCAATCGCTCTGAAAGTGGGAATGAGAAATGTGTATTACAGTTTTCTAGCAAAATACAGAAATATGTTAAAAATTAGATTTATTTATTTTCCAAAAAAGGTAGTCAGTAAAACTAGCTTCATAATTTACTTGATGATGTAGAAACTTCATTGGATAAAAAAAAATATTAAATTGATAAAAGTTGTATTTGATGTTAACTCTAAAATTTACGTCAGCTCATCTCGATGCTCTGGAATCTTGTTTTAATTAAATAAATGCTTTAACTCCTTAATTAAGGCTATGAGTTCATCACCCGCCCTCCATAGCTCGTTGAAATTTACCATACCTTAATTTACCTTTCTTAATTACTGCACATTTTCTTGATCTGTTTTTCATCGATATTTTCCCATTTTTTCGATTGCAATTTAGCGTTTTCTTTTCAATCTGTTATGTTTTTCTCATTCACGCCTTGAGAATTTGCTTTTGTATTTTCTCACTCCAGACATGTCGAATACTTCTACTTTAACAGACTTTGAAGCCAGTGAAGTTTTTTCGTTATACGGTCAAACTTCTCAATAGAGTTTCTTAAATTTTTCTTTGCTTGTTTGTTTGTCGTTTCTTATCATATCATTGTATTTACTAGTTAGAAAGATACGAAATTAGGATAATTAAACTATGCATTCTGTAATTGGTACTTCTGTAAATTGTGATTATTTTCAGCCCAACAATCAGGCAAGCTCCTGTAACCTGGTGAATCAATTTCCTAAACGCTGTTTGTAATGATCTATATCATAGATTCTCAACCTTTTTAACGTTACCGCCCCCTTAAGGAGCAAAAATCATTTCAACGCCCCCCGTTGTGAAAATCCAGTTATTTAGAGCATGGTGACGGAGCGAGGTGTGCTGAATTATAAGAGGCAACTTTAAGCAATTTATTAAGAGTTAGATTTGTTTGGTTTTAAGAAATAATGCGTACATTAACACGATACTTTTCTCATGGCAAGTAATCGCAGTCTATTTGTTCTAATTAAAATAAATACGGTAATAAAAAAATACAAAAAAAACCTATGCTTAAAATCAATCATTTATTCTTAATTAGATAATTAAAAACACACCCAAAATAGTTTTTTTACACTAAAAAGTAGTATCAACGAGACATTCGTTTCTTAAAGTTTGGTTCAATACTTTAAGTGTGGTGAAGACGCTGGTTCCCTCCTTACACAATTTCGAGTTGATTTCTCTTTTTTGTGTGACAAGATCCGTAACAGCATTGAATCCACTTTCGACAAGGTAGGAGGAAGGGAAGACATTAAAAAAATTTTAACGATAGTCCGCAGTCCAGGGTAGAGGAGACAAAATTCTGTGAGACGATCATCACTTCAAAGTTTCCTTCGTTGAAAGTTCGACCAATTCCTCATAAATCTGAACCTCTGCTGTTTCAATATTCACAAAAGTGTGCATAACCCAATAACCCATTGAGGGACTTCCAGGGAACAAAACAGCTTTAAAACGGTCAGAAAAGTCCACGAGTAAAGAGTCAAGGTGTTGACAATATTCTTGTGCATCATCAGAGCGAATTTCACCTGCTTCACTGAACTCATTCCAACCAAAATTCTGCTTCCACAAAATGAGTTTTTTCAGAAAGGCAGAAATGACTGATTTTATAGGGATCAAATTGAGCTCGTCGGCATGAAGTTGTAAATTTATGCCATTAAATTATAATAATATAATCAGCCAAAGTCTTTCTCCAATTCTAGCAATCTGTCTCTCAGAGCTACATCTCTGTTTTAGAGAAACTTAAGCA